TAAATAGTAAAAGTACTAATTTAATAGTTAAAATAATATAAAATAAATATTTAACATATTTACTGCTAAATAATTATTTTCATATTTTGAATAAATTTACACATATTAAAATTCTTTTCATAAAATAAATATTTGTTTTAAATAAAATAATTTAAATAAATACTAAAAAATCCTATTATTTGATATTTAACTTAATGAATATTATTCTTAAATAAAATGAATTTTTAAATAAAATGACTTTTAAAAAAATATATCCATGTTTAAGTATATAAATATGTAATATTAGTTTAAAATAAAACACATATTTATTATTGAAGTAAAATATTATAAATAATTATATTATTGATTGTATAGGAATTTTAAATAAATAATATTAATATATAAATAATATATAAATTTCTTATACATAATATAAAAATGTATATATAAATATAACTTTTAAGTATTATTTAAATTTCAAAATAGGTATTAACTTTAATATATAATACTTAAAATTTTAATATATAATTAAATAATTATTAAAAAGTCATAATAAATTAAAAATAAATAGATAAAATAGGCTTAAGTATATTAATATATATTCCTTAACTATTTAATATTTAAAATCATTAATAATATTTGCTAATATCTATTATATAAACATCCATTGTAAATATTAACCAAGTAGTATAAGTGATGTAGTAGAGAGACATTACTTTTGTAAATAAAAAGTCTATGGTTCGAAACCTCTTGCCCACAAAAATATACATATAACAAATATACTACTCATAGAGAGGAAGATTTGAAGTTGAAACGTTAAAAACCAATGCAATAATTATGATAAAAAGAAAAACCATTTTATTATTTACTTGAGAAAGTATTTCTTTTAAATATACATATAACAAATATAACTAAGGGTAGAAATTCTCATGGATTACAAAATAAGTATTCATGAATAATATTCCTTCTGACCTTTAACATAAGAAATAATTTATTTTTAAAATATATTAAATAATCAACATATTTTGTATATAGATAAAATGTATTTGATTGTATCTGATCAGGAGGGATTGTCAAGGTCCGCGAACTTCAAGTTGAGCAATGGTTGAATGTGAAGTGAGGGTACCCGCAAGACACTCTGATGCCAAAGTAAGGTTCAGAGTAAGTGCAAATAAGTGTGAGAGTATAAGTGAATGAATGAATACATGACCCTCTCAAGTGAGAGGGTATTTATATCCCCAGCGCTGGGCCAAGGTCCCCATTGTTGGACTGACCAAACAGATCCAAAATGGAGACTGTCAAATCCTACGTGTGTAGTGGAGGCCAGCACATGGTTTCAAACCTGAATAGATTCCTCTGAATTATCAGGAGGATGTGGATGCAGTCCTTTCGGGGTCAAGAGGACTCTGTGACATTCAGAGACGTTGGGTGATAGCCCTACGAAGAGGGTGCTCGCGAGGACCTCCTGGGCGTCATTGGTCCTCCTCGCCAGTCATCAGGTTATCCCTGGAGGACATATCCTGATCGACGAGAGGAATGGAGGGTGCTCGCGAGGACTTTCTGAGTGCGGTTGGTCTTCCTCGCCAGTAATGGGGTTGTCCTCGGAGGACATATCCTGATCGAAGAGAGGAGTGGAATTACTACCAGACATTGTCAAGGGTAGACTCTCTCCTGCTGGTTTTCTCCTGCAGCATAGTTGAATTGGGTCTTGTATGATGTTTGGGTCAAGTGCAGGCCCAGTCCAGAACAGGAGCCCTCCAAGACGTTGCTCTTGAGGAAATGAGTTATGACTTAAGACCAATTTCCCCATATGGTGAGCATAGTTTTGTCGGGGTCTCTTATCACGTCGAGGGACGGGGTCGTTTTTATGTGTGACTACTCGAGCGGAGATTGGAGTTTGCTCACAGAGAACATTTAACTGCTCCTCGACTCGCGGGGAGACGTAAGTTTGGAGGACTTTTAATTCGTAGGCCACGTGGTGTAGCTTTTGGTTGCGACTACTCGAGCGGAGATTGGAGTTCGCTCACGGATAAAGTTTATCTGGTCCTCGACTCGTGGGGAGAAGAAAGTCCGCAGGATGTTTACTTCGTAAGCCACGTGGTGTAGCTTTTGGGATAGAATGATGGCCTAGAGAGTAGGGGTCACTATGACCCTAAGCGCGTGGGCGGCGAAGAGATGGACAGTTGATACGTTGTTCAACACGATGCTTCGTCTTTCACGCTAGCCTTATAAATAGCGCTTAAGAGCTCATTTGTAACATTTCCAAGGATACGCTCACAGGAAGCGGTCAGTGGGGGTGTACTCTGTGAACCGTTCGTCTGGTTCTCTGTGCTCGCGGGGATCGTGAAGTTTCTCCTCCCTTCTCTTATCCCCAGTCCATTGAGAAGGGTCTGTGTCGTGGTGCTGTGGGATGTTAATTGGTTCGCGGTTCCTCGAATTGCAGGCTCTGTTGGCTTCCTCTTTTTCCTCGTAGTCCATGTATGTCCGGGTTTTTTCGAGGAGAGCGTCAAAAGACCTGGGGGGTTCAATGCCGACAACCTTTCTAAATTCAGTGCCTGGGAGGAGTCTCCTCTCGAGAAGGTATCTTTTCATGTGATCGGTGCATGGGACCTAAATGGCCTCGCAGTTGAACCGATCAATATACTCCCCGAGGGTCTCGTCGCTTCTCTAGACAATTGCCTCGAGGGCGGCCTCAGTTTTTGGATGTCGACGATACGCAGTGAAGCTGCTGATGAATTGGTTTTTGAGGCTCCTCCATGAGGTGATCGATCCAGGGAAGAGGTTCTTGTACTAATCCATGGTTATTTTCCTCAGTATCATGAGGAACATCATGCATTTAATTGGGCCCCCGACATTGTGGTAGTGGAGCATTACTTCAAACCCGTCGATATGGTCGATAGGATTAACAATGTCATCGTACTCCTTCAGTAGGGGGACTTCTCCATTTCTTTAGGAAGGGGAGCCTCCACGATGGCTTGGGATAGTGGACCACGAGGGTCGTCGTCATCGCTTCTGTCTGGGGAGCGAGAGGGGGATCAGTTGCAGTGGTGGTCATTGTGTCGGCCTTGGCCACGGGGATGGTCCCTTGTCCGAGACTATTTCTCTTTATTCCACCTATTTCTTTTACATTTAGGGGATCGTCGCTCCTTACACGGGGGTGTGACCGCACTTTCTCGCAGCTTCGGGTTGACTCCTCTCCAATGCAGGGCCTCTCCTAGTTCGGCATGGAGAAGGGCTTCGAGAGCCGTTCTGTCTGTGTCTCCACGGGGGAGATCGGGGGAGGTCCTCGTTCCATCAGGGAAGAGAAGTTCGAGAATCGGGTCTTCTGTGATTTCTATGGGGCCGACGAGACTGCTCGAGCATCATCAATCGCTCATCCTGTGAGAAGATCGTGTAATTGGTCTGTTTGATTGTCGTGAACAAAGCTCTAGTCGTGGTGTCAACACCTGCAGGAACGGGGATCTCCTGATATGTATTGGGTTCATAATTTTGTGGAGGATGGTAGTCGTCATCATGCGGTTGCAAGTAGGTGGATGAAGAGGCGTTCAGTCCGCCCTTGTGGTCTTGCTCGGGACCGGCTACATCGTTGTGGTTTCCCGTGTTGTTGTTGCCAACATTGTTGTTGTTTGGGTCAGCGAAATGGACGTTTTTATTATCAACGACAGCTTGGTCGGCCATGACAATCGAAAGGTTGATGAAGAGTTGCCTTGGTCTTGAGAGGAAGACGGAGAATCTGGTTTCCCATAAACGACATCATTGATCGTACCTGATTAGAAGGAATTGTCAAGGCCCGCGAGCTTCAAGTCGAGAAATGATTGAATGTGAAGTGGGGGATACCTGCAAGACACTCTGATGTCAAAGTAAGGTTCAGAGTAAGTGCAAGTAAGTGTGAGAGTATGAGTGAATGAATGAATACCTAACTCTCTCAAGTGAGAGGGTATTTATATCCCCAACGCTGGGCCAAGGTCCTCATTATTGGGCTGACAAAGCAGACCCAAAATGGAAACTGTCAGGTTCTACGTGTGTAGTGGAGGTCAGTACGTGGTCTCCAACCTGAACGGATTCCTCTGAATTATCAAGAGGATATGGATGCGGTCCTTTCGTGGTCAAGAGGACTCTGTGACATTCTGAGGCGTTGAGTGTTAGTCCTACGAGGAGGGTGCTCGCGAGGACCTCTTGGACGTCGTTGGTCCTCCTCGCCAGTCGTGAGGTTGTCCTCAAAGGACATAACTTGGTCGGTAAAAGGAGTGGAGGGTGCTTGCGAGGACTTCCTGAATGTGGTTGGTCCTCCTCACCAGTCATGGAGTTGTTCCCGATGACATATCCTGGTCGACGAGAGAAGTGGAATTATTGTCCGACATTATCAAGGACAGATTCTCTTCTACTAATTTTCTTCTGCAGTATAGTTGAATTGAACCTTGTATGATGTTTGGACCAAATACATGTCCAATCCAAAACAATATTAATTTAATAAACTTAAAAATATAATAAAAATTAGGGAAAAAGTATTAAGATACGCACCTATAATTTATTGATCGATCGTACAAATATTTTTGGATTAATAATAATAGAACTATTATTTTCATAAAATAATACATTAAATTAAGTACTTTATTTACTTTCTTAAAAACATAGTATAAAAATTATAAAAGGAGTTGAAAGCTTTTTGGAATTAAAGAAATAAGAGCTAAAAATAGGCCATTCCTATGAATGAATACTTTACATACCTTATTTAGTGATGTATGTCGAGGAATAAAAAAGATATTTGGTCTCTAAAGATATTTGATAACATTATTACTTCTTTTTTTTCTATCTCCTCTCTCTATTGTCTCTTTCCTCATCAGTTTCCCTTTCCCTTTTCCAAACTCTCTCACATTTACTTCTTTCCTCCAACCATGGTACCCTATATATACAACACCTTACTCTTCACACTCTACATCACCAACTCACTCCATAACAAAACTTTTATCTTCACTTCTTTCACTATCAATAACTTTTTCCACTCTCTTAATCACATAAAAATGTTTCCAACTAACAACTCTCCCACTTCACATCCAAGTTCCTCAAAACCTTCCACTTCCTCAAACATGCCATTGCCGAATTTGGAAATCCCTCATGACATGTCAGTTTTCAACGATGAACTTCGACTAGCCGAGAGTACCCCAAAGAAGCCTGCAGGGAGGAAGAAGTTCAAGGAGACTCGCCACCCGGTGTTCAGGGGTGTGAGGAGGAGGAATTTAGATAAGTGGGTGTGTGAAATGAGGGAACCTAACAAGAAGACTAAAATTTGGTTAGGGACCTATCCAACCGCCGAGATGGCAGCCCGAGCCCACGATGTTGCGGCACTGGCATTGAGAGGTCGCACCGCCTGTCTCAACTTTGCAGACTCGGCGTGGCGACTTCCCATTCCTACCACTACCGCGACTAAAGATATTCAAAAGGCGGCTGCAGAAGCCGCCGAGGCTTTTAGACCAGACAAGATTTTGCTAACTAATGACAATGGCATTGACACGGCTGTAGTCGCCGCCACGGAGGAGCAACTTATGTTTGGTATGGAAGAAGAAGAGGAGGAAGAGGTGAACATTCCAGAGTCTTTGAGAAATATGGCGCTATTGTCTCCTACACATAGTTTGGAGAATGAGTTTCATTATAATGATGCAGAACTTCAAGATGTTGAGGTGTCACTATGGAGCTTTTCCCTTTGATTTTGTGATTTATTGTAGAACATTGTTTTCTAAATCTGTTTTGGTTATAATCATTTAGGAGTAGTTTTTAGTTATGGTGTTACTCGTTTTTGCTGCTGAATCGGTTCTTAGAGTAGGGGGGACTTTTCATTTTAAAGTATGGTTTGTCTTGTTGTATTCCTACTAATATCTAGTCATCTTGTGTTCGGTTATATTAATTTTTGTAAAATATTTGTTGTTTAAAAAATTGAAGTTTTATATTTGTTTTCTTCATTTCTTTAAAATTAATTTCTTTTTTTAATAGTTTAAACTAGTAATCGTCTTTCATTAGATCAATTATATGATAATTACAAGACACACTCTAAGTATTAGATGTTAGTTGAGTCACATGAATATAAAATGTTGGAGGGTTTTAAGCTTACAAATAACTTAAGATTGATGAAGGTCGTGATTAATGTAAATTCAACGGAAGTTTTGCAAGCCCTCGAAGGTGGAGCCACTAACTTTGAGTTTATTTTGAATTAGGAGTTAATTATTTTCTACTTGGCTTCAAATTTTATTAGACACTCTATGAGAATGACGCAGATGACGTAACCACTAGTAGGGTGGTATTTGTATAGTTTTTTTTTTTTTTTTTTTTGCCTTTGGCTCTCTTTTGTACTTAAAAAAAGAATTGAATCCATGATAATAGCATTAAAAAAAGCATACATGAATTGCACCACACCAAAATCTTGAACATGATAGATACATCATACAATTGGGGACAAATCCAATATAGGCATGTCCATTCGATAGAACTCGTCAAATAAATGTTGGGGATAGGAGTTGCAGGTAGGGATGTGTAAAAAAACTGGTTTACACGAATCAATTTTAAAAATTCAATATACTAATTTTTATAATTCAATTTGTGTTAGATGTGAACCGCTCCAGATTCATTTTGATATCAAACAAAAATCTGGTTTTCATTTTTGATAACCAGTTGTCATACATAAAATCAAATGTATATGATATTATTATTAATGAATAAGATATTATTAAGACACCGTGAATTCAAATTCGTGTAAACCAATTTATATAATATTCAAATTGAAAATGGAAAACTAGTTTATATATTTTATTTTATTTATTATTAATTAGTTAATTAGAGTGGTGATTAGTTAAGGGAAGAATAACTTATTAAGTTAATTGTGATGGACGATTGTTAATGTGTATTTTTTTTGTGTAACTGTTATAGTGTAGCAATTGTTTTGAAGCAGATTTTGTCTTGGTTTTAGGATGTTTTGTTTTAGTTTTTTTGGGTTCTAGTTTTAGTATTCTGGTGCAACTTTATCATAGATTAAAGTGTAATGTTTTTACTCTTAAATTGAATTTTACTTTTTTGCTTTTCAAAAAAATTATGAAAAACGATTTGTGCTGGTGTTTGAATATAATAGTATAAAAATGACACATGCATTTGCATCTTGTTCCCTTCATTAACCTGAATTTTTTTCGTCTCTTCAAATTAAGAAACATACAATTTCCTTATAAATCAATTTTGATTGAAAACCGATTTTAAACCGAATTGAAACCATTTTGCAATTTTAAATTGATTATTATGAAAAATGGTTTAATTTTAAAACTAGAATCATTAAAATAGATTGGTTCTTAAAATTTCGTAACCATGCACACCCCTAATTGCGGGAGAGAAGATTGAGAGAAGAAGAGTAGAAAATTGGGGGCTTAATGTTCTTTTTATTTAATATGTTTTCATTTTGATCTCTTCACTTAAAAGAATTATAATAATTTCTTAATTCATCAAATTATATTATATTAGTTTTTTTATCAAATTAGGGACAAAAATTAATCGCTAAATTAATCATTAATTAGAAAAAAACAATTAAAATAATATGTTTTGAATACTTAAAAAATCAATATAATTTTTAAAAAATAATTAATAATAAAAAATAAAGAGCAAGATTAACATAAACATAAGTGGGAAAAGTATTAAACCAAAATTGAGTGAGAGAGTGTAGAAATTAATAGTTACTTGAAACTAACTATAACTAACAAACTGAGATAGTTATTAACTACTAACAAAATTCTAAACTATTAAAACTATTAAAGACTTTAATTATTATTACAAGGTATAATCAATCAATCAATCTATCAGAGGATTTCTTTTTCGGATTACAGAAGAAGAGAGATTGTGATTTTTCAAATAAATTAGGGGTGTGCATTTTAACAATGACATCTAATCCATAACTATAAATTTAGTTTTCAAATATAAAAAATTCAAACCATTTGATTATTAACTAATTCATTTTATTTATAAAAAAAAACCAATAACATTGAATACCCATTTTATTGAAATTCAATTCCTGATCCAATTTACTAATTTACTCAAATGTTAAAAAGTATCTCTCTAAATTTCCAATATAGCCAAAATCAAATCATTACAAATTGAATAACTGGAATGACAGTTAATTTTTTCTTGAATCCCAATATTAAATATATTACAATAAATATTATTTTTTTAGTTTTAAAAATACACTATAATATATTTTACCTGCAAATGTGTTTGAATGACAACACAGTAATGAAAATTGAGTTTCGTCAATCTAAAACATGAATCTCCATTTTGAAATTCAACTTTCATAATACTATAATCAAATTTCAATTATATATACCAGACCAAACACCAAATTTACTTAAAAAAACTCTTCACATATTGAATATTATTAGAAAATAAATAACACAGTAAAATAAAATATGTTGACTGAACTTTTCAATATTTTCCAGCACAGTATACATAAAAGTTTCAAACTGGTTAAGAAAAAAATTAATTAAAATAAAAAATTGATATAATTAGTTTTAAGAAAAACTAATCTTATCTAAATCAAATAAAAAACAGATTGTTAATAGGAACCGATTTTAAACCGAATCAATTCAAATATAAACCAGTTTTAAAAAAATAATCTAATTTTACAAAAACAATTTTGAAGAATTAAATCAAACTATATATTTGATTCAATTCGGATTGATTTGAGAACCATGCACACCCCTAAAATAAACCACACATAATTACTATTGATTTGGAGACACAGACAGAGAAATTAGGGAATTAAAGAAGACTAACCTTTTCCGGAGAAGATTACGACGGCGGAGAGAGTTCAGGCGCGGTGGTTCCGTCGTAAAAAAATTCGGGTTTGAAATAAAAATAGTATAAGAAAATGGAAGAAGAAGATGTGAAAAGTGGAAAGGAAAAAGTGAAAAAGTGAAACTGTTCATGTTAAAAGTGTTGGTTACACGTTGGAAAAATTAAGAAAAAAAGAAACAAAATAATAATTGAATTTACGCGCGCTTGGGAAAGTAAGAGAGTGAAAGAAAGAAAACTTTTTCTCGTGAAGACCGTGTTTGCTTTAAGGGAAAATGTCGCGAAAGAAGCAACAAGAAACTGAAAGGGAGTTCAGTACTTACTGAGAAAGAAATTGAATGGAAGAAATAAGAAATTATCTCGTGAAACACGTGTTTGCTTTAAAATAAAACACGGAGAAGGAAGTACAAGCGATAAAAATTGGAAACTGGACTCATTACTTAACGCGCTCAGAAAGAAAATCAGTGGAAGGAAGAATAGTATTTCTCAGAATTTACGCGTTTGCTTTAGGGGAAAAAGACGAGAAAGAAGTAGAAGGGATAAACAACTGAAAAATAAGATATTTTTAGGTAATTTAAATACTTCTTTCTTAAGTTCCCTTTTTTACATTTTTCTCTTCTTCTTTATTTTTTGAAAGTAAGAGCGACAAATAACTGAAAATAAAATTATTTTTTTTATCTCTTTAATAAACTATTCGATTTGAATTTTGTAGATGAAAAATTAAAATAAAAATTAAAAAATTAGAGTCAATTAAGTTATCAGACATAAATAATTTATAGAAAAAAAAGACTAATCAAACACTTGTTAATATATTAAATATAAAAATCAAATTGAAAATTATGCATTAATTTATTAATTTTTTTAACTGTTACAAATTTATGAATTTTTAAATTCCATCTTTCAATTTTTTTTAAAACTTTTAGCTTATATTTACATTTTATAAAGACTATTTTAAAATTAAAAAATATTAAAATTTAATATAAAATAAAATCAAAGTATACAATATTCTGTCAAACTGCAGTACTAAAAAGGATTAAAATTTAATACGACTTATATTAAAAATTCATTATTCTGTAGTTACTAAAATTATGTTTAACCATATAAATTATAAATATAAGATCTTCTTCAATTATTTTTATTTTTATCAAATTATTTTTGAATTTTAAAATTATATAGTAATAATTTATTTATCCAGATACTCCTAATTATTTTCATTTTTTAATATACATCAAATAATCTTATAATATTATATTAAATTATTTTTTCACTAAAAATAAATTTACAAAATTATACTGTAGTGAACCATCTTAATACTTCAACCAACTTCTTTAATTTCTCTAATTTATTTATTCTGAATATTTTATATAAAGATGGAGATAATAAAACATTAGAATGAAGAGGGATATTTTTATTATCAAATAAAAACACAATACAGTAATTTATTTTTACAAACACGCATATTTTCTCTCTCTTGTTTCTTTCTCCTCGGTTTCTTTTTCTTCTTCAAAATTCTAACCAATCACAATGTTTCTAACTTGGCAAACCAGTTGGCTTTTTTATACGAAATATCCAACACACTCACACTCACACTCACACTGTTACCTTGTCATATATATATATATATAACACATCTCACTCTCCACTCTCTTAAATCATCTTAAAACCAAAACCACAACCTCTTTACTTCCTTAACGAGTAACTCTTTTCTTCACTATCAAAACCTTTTTCCACTCTCTCCAACACATGGATATGTTTCCAAGTAACAGCTCTTCGTCTTCTTCTAACATGTCATTGCAGAATTCAGAAGGCTATCAATGGATGCCAATTTCAGACGACGAGGTTCGGTTAGCTGCGAGTACCCCGAAGAAACGTGCAGGGAGGAAGAAGTTCAAGGAGACTCGCCATCCGGTGTATAGGGGTGTGAGGAGAAGAAACAATAATAAATGGGTGTGTGAAATGAGAGAGCCTAACAAGAAGACTAAGATTTGGTTAGGCACTTTTCCAACGGTCGAGATGGCTGCCCGAGCACACGATGTTGCTGCAATGGCATTAAGGGGCCGCTACGCCTGTCTCAATTTTGCAGACTCAACGTGGCGGCTCCCTAAACCAGTTAGTTCTGAGGCAAAAGATATACAAAAGGCCGCTGCAGAAGCCGCCGAGGCTTTCAGACCGGATCAAACTTTAGGGACTAATGATGTTGAGCAGACTTTAATGGTTAATGACATTGACACGGAAGTTGTTGCTGCCACCCCAGAAGAACAAAATATGTTTTCTATGGAAGTGGAAAAAGAGGGAGTAGAACAGAATTTGTTTTCTGTGGAAGTGGAAGAAGAGAGAGTAGAACAGAATATGTTTTCTATGGAAGTGGAAGAGGAGGGAATGATGAACACGCCAGAAATGTGGAGGAATATGGCACTAATGTCTCCAACACATAATTTTGGGTATCATGATGAATATCAATATATTGATGTACAAGACTATCAAGATCAAGAGGTATCACTATGGAGCTTTTAGTTTTCTTTATGAGGAACTGAGATTTAAAGTTTGAACTTTTTGGTTACATTTATTTATTTTTGGATTGTAGAATAGAAATTGATAAAGAAACCTTTTTTGTATTCTTTTCAGAGAATGTAGTCATTAGTCAAGCATATATGAAATAAGAATATTATTTTTTCATGTCAAAATATCTATATCTATATATCTATCTATTTTTTTTAATTTTAATTTTTATTAATCAGATTCTCTATAATTACGGATACTAATCTCTTTTATCGGCGATATTATAATAAACTGCAAAATTCTCTATAATGAAATGCAATCTCAATTGTGTACTAAAAAAATATATTAATCTATTGTTATTCTTGCTTAGCTGATTATATTAAGTTGGAGGAAGTAAAATTAGTGTCTGTTATCAAAGGGTATGCATAATGTCTCTAGCTTCTATGGAATTGGATTGTAAATTTCTTTTTTACCATCTTGAATATTTGATGGAACCTTATCTTCATAACCCGCTGTAGTTATAGTCTTCTCTTTACTCATTGTTTGTCTGAATTGAAATTTGAAATAATAATACTAATAGCTCGTTTTCTAAATATGCATTCTACTACATTTTATATTTTGAAAGAAAATACAAATATATATTATAATATACTTTGAAATTTTTATTGATGAAGAGAAATAAAACATATTTTAGAGATTGCATGTACTACGAAAATCATAAGTTTTAGAAAGTCAGTCAAAAAGTCGAAAAATCAGAAATCGGGAAAAATCATACGAGCGTACAGACGGTGAATATTGACTGTACAAACAATAAATAGTGACCGTGCGGACAATGAATAGGTGGTCGTACAAATGATGAATAACAACCGTACGAACGATTAATAATTACATCAATTTCATGTTTTTCGAACTTTTTCGACAATCTTACGTTTTGCGTGTTTCAGGCTCTTTCGGTTCGGTCCATGGATCCATATGTGATTGTGTTGTGTTTCTGGGCTTTGTTTGTTGAATATTTGTTATTATAAATATGTACCTCTTATATGTTTGCAGGTTAGCTTACAGCAAAAAGGGAGAACAAGGGTTTAAAGGCATATCATATGGTTTTGACTGTTTTCAAGGGAAACCTTAGAAAGATAAGGGTCTTGGAAACTTTTGGAGTTATCTAAAGGAATTAGAGAATTGGAAACACTTGTTTATACCTTTTTGGGAGCCTTCAGAGTTGTTCTTGGAAACCAGAAGGCAAAAACGATTTTCTTGTAACTCACATGTAATCTCTTGTAACAATTTTCTAAGTATAGTTAATTAGAGAGCTGCTATCTACCCCGAAGTAGATCATTTGATTGAACTGGGTAAACAAACCTTCATCTTTTTCTCTCCTTATTCTGTTATATTATCTGTGTACATATTATTATTGTTGTAGACCATTTATTTTGGTTGCTACTATTCTTTGTCTCACAAATTGAGATTGATTTTTATCGTAATTCACAACAAGTGGTGCAATGAGCGTGAAGAAAAGAGGTGTTGTTTACAAGTGAGCATCATGGTTAGTAGATGAGAGGTCAAGAATTTTTTTGGTAATTACGACTTCGAGTTGTAGAAAATTAAGATGTAAGCAATTTAAATTCAAGAGAAGTGTATCGATGCTTTGAAGAGTGAAGCATTGAAGTCTGCATGGCTTACACAGATACAGAAGACCGAGATGTTGGATAAGGTCAGAAGTGCTATTATCTTGTTTCTTTAGGATAAAGTTCTAAGAGAAGTCGTCAGGGAGAAAACTGCGGTTGGTATGTGGGCAAAACTTGAATTATTGTATATGACAAAGTCTTTCACTCATAAGTTGTATCTAAAACAACAACTCTATTCATTCCAAGTGGTAGACAACAAATTCATAGTTGAGCAACTTACAGAATTTCACAAGATTATTAATGATCTTGAGAATATTGAAGTGAAGGTTGAAGATGAGGACAAGGCTTTGTTCCCGTTGACTTTATTACTCAGATCCTTTGAGCACTTTAAGGAGACCATTCTTTATGATAAGGAAGGTACTATTACTTTGGATGAAGTTCAAACGACGGTGAAATCCAAAGAATTTTCAAAGTCAAAAGATTTGAAGATTGAAGATAGTGGTGAAGTATTAAATGTCTCAAGAGGAGGAGGTGGGTGTAAAGACAAATTGTAGCATCTCAAAGGGACGGTTATGTTAGCCTTAGATATTATATTTTTAATGTGGCTGAAGGACTACAAAATAAAAGAAGAAAAACCTTCAGAGAGGCATTTGAAAATTGGTGGAGTCAAGGGTGGTTGAAAAATCATACTTGTAGGCTTGTTAAATTACCTAAGAAGAAAATGGTAATTGGAAACAAGTGGATGCAAGTGGCGAGATCAAGATTCAAGGGTTTTTTGAATTTGATCAAGGTTATTGATTAAAGTTTCAACATGGTAGAGAGCATCAATGTTGTTGATCGTTAAATTGATATCAACACAGTTTAAAGTCAAGGTGGAGATTATTGTAATGTATCTTGAAACCTTTGTTGATGAAGAGAAAGAAAGTATATTTGGAGATGGCATATACCGCGAAAATCAAAAGTTTCAAAAAGTCGGTCAAAAAGTTGAAAAACCAAAATTCGCGAAAAAAATCGTACGGTCGCACGGACGGTGAATAGTGACCATACTGATGGTGAATAGTGATTGTACGGATGATGAATAGTGATCGTACGGGGATAATGAATAGTGATCATACGGATAATGAATGATAATCATACAAACGATGAATAGTGACCGTACAGACGGTGAATAGTGACATAAATTTCAAGTTTTCCAGACTTTTTTAAAAATTTCTCGTTTTGCGTGTTTTTGGATCTTTCGGTTCGGTCCATGGATCCATGTGTGATTGGGTTGTGTTTTTGGTCTTTGTTTGTTAGGTATTTTTTATTATAAATATGTATCTCTTATATGTTTGTAGGTGTGACAATCTTAGAGCTTACAGCAAAAAGGAAGAACAAGAGTTTAAAGGCATACATAGGGTTTTGGCTATTCTCAAGGGAAACCTTAGAAAGGAAAGAGTTTTGGAAACCTTTAGAGTTATCTAAGGAAATTGAGGAATTGAAAACACTTGTTTATACCTTTGGTTTGAGTTATTCATATATTGAAGATTGAAGAGGTTAGGAAATACTTGGATAGAAAATATGGTTAATTTATTGGGAGTCTTCAGAGTTGTTCTTGAGAACCGGAAGGCAAAAACTATTTTCTTATAACTCATATGTAATCTCTTTTAACAACTTTCTGAGTATAGTGAATTGGAGAGCCTCTCTCTCCCCCAGATTAGATCTTTTGATCGAACTGGGTAAATAAATCTTCATATTTTTATCACCTTATTCTATTATATTATCTGTGTACAGATTATTATTATTGTAGATCATTTATTTTGGTTGCTACAATTCTTTGCCTCACAAATTGAGATTAAATTTTATCGTAATTCACAACAAGATTCACAATTAAAAAGTACAGTGTGACTCTGCTCCTTGTTAACGTAGGGTTATATATAACTTGTTAAAAAGTACAATGTGACTCTACTCCTTGTTAACGTAGGGTTGTATGAGATTTCTAGGGCGATGAAGGCTCGCCTACATAGGATAGTGAGAAGCTATGTATTTAGTTTTTGCATAAGATATTGGATTCTCGTTCCCATTATGATAATGAGGTTATATAGAAGGCTTCTTGAGCATGAGTTAGAGAGTGTTTATCCCAACTTCCTTATTAGAGACGTGGAGCAGAGGAGATGCGGTCTCTCTTGAATTATGTGGGAGACGGTTTCTCCATTGACTATACAGCCATTGCTTGGACAAATCATCATCTGAGTTTATTGAGAAAATGGTTAGTCATAATCATTTCGGGTGGCCCAAGCCCAATAGGGTGGCTTATCATCACACGTTTGATGGCATCTTGCCTCGTGTTAGGAAACCCAATATGGCGATGGGTTGCATCATATAATTTTGACCTTTCTTCTTAGGGTTCACTAAAATCATGTAAGGATAGAGAGCAATTAAGAGGGGTGAATTAGATGTTCAGAAATTTTAGATAAAAGTAACAAGCTTTTACCTTTTAATTTTACTGGTTTATGAAAATGGAGTGAATACTTATTTTTCTGGCTTAAGAGATTGAAGTGATATGCAGAAAAATAAATGTAGTAAAGCAAGAGTAATTTAGTCCCTTCACACACTGTGAAATATTTCACTATGTCAGAATTCTTGTTACAGTCAACACTAGATTCTCTTATAAAATTCTAACAGAAATAAGAAAGCACCCCACTTTCCATCCATTTACAATATAATAGAGAGAACCTTACTTCCTCTTATACACACATGTTATCACAATCATGATAAACAAGTTCACAACATACAAATACAGATGATATGATTTGTGTACAGGAATGGTTGACACTTTTCAAACACTTGAAATAATGTTATTCCCTTTCTTGAAACAATATGATAAGATGAATACCTAAGTTCTCAAAGAAAGAAGATAAAACTTTTTATCTGATATGAACAATTATGTAGTAGAAAAGTTACTATGAAAATTTTGAACACTTGTAGAATATGTCAGGAAAGAGGTGATTTTTGAATTTGAAAATTCTACTATTTATAATTATCATGCACCTCTTGATTTCCAGAAATAATTGTTGGGGAAAATTTTATGAATAATTTCCATGGTTAAGAAAAGATTTGGAGATGAAAAGAGGTGACAGAAAAATGCAATGTTAGAGTATTCTTCAAAAAGAAATAGAGGTTAATTGATTACCCTTAGTTCAACATAAAAAAATTAGTGAAACAATGGTATGGATAATAGATTAGCTTGGTCTCCTTTCCAAGATGTTAATCGATTATCCTTTTATAAAAAGGTAATGAAGGGCATCATGGGTTTCCATTTTATCCCTCAGTTTTTAAAACACTGAGGAAAAAAGTTATCTGCACATGGGTTCGAATCCTAACATCTGTATTTTAATTATTTTTAAAACT